TCCCACCTCTGACTGGTCCCACCAACCCCATCTATTCTCTGCCTCCAATTGAGTCCCAGCTGATCAGCTGGGTCTCCTTTGGTTGCCCTGCATGGGAGGACGGATCTGGAAAGCAGGCTAGTGGGGTGGGCAGGGAATGGGGATTTTGCAGTATCTTTCCCCTGCCATGCCCACCAAGCCACGCCCACCAAGCCACACCCACAGAACTGGTAGTAAAAATATTTGAATCCCCCCCACTAGCCTGGAATCTGATGGATGCCCCCAACACCAAGGAGTCCTCCTCCCAGATGTTTGTATCAGGCTGCGGCACTCTGTTGCCACCTGTTTCCAAATTGTCTCTCAGGACATCCCACTGAGAAGCTGGGCTCCTGTGGTGCCCATGAATCCAGGAGGCCCCAAGCTGCAGAGCTGCTCATCATCAAGGATTCTCCATCACCCACCCCAAAGCCCTCTGGGCCAGCAGGTTGCACCAGAAAGACCCCCTGCAGACAGAACAGAGCTCACCTGCGCCGCTTCTGACCTTGCAGGCTGCAAAGAGCAGCCAAGGCTTCGGAGTGTCCTCAGCTCCTGCTCAGGGGTGGGATTCAATTTTTTTAACAACTGATTCTGTGGCCTGGCTTGGTGGTCATGTGACGGGGTGGATGTGGCTTGTTGGTCATGTTATTGGCTGGGTATGGCCAAGTCAATATCACTCACATCGAGGCACGCATCTCCTTGTCTTCCCTCTCATGACTGTGGGGATGCTGCAACAGTCATAAGTGTGAAAAATGGTGATAAATCACCTTTTTCAATGCCATTATAACTTTGAAGAGTCACTCCACATAAGCAAAGTACCAGCAAAGAAGTGGGGGGAAAAACTCCAGAGAGGTTCCTGAGACAGGAAGTCGAGTCCTGCCAAGAATGTAATAAGGGTTAACGGAGAGGCAGTTTCTGTAAGCAACCCCAGAATGTTTCCTTCCTGCCTTCCTTACAGGATTAGCCCAGTAATTTCTTCTAACAATCGGTTCTCCAAACTGCTTAGAATGTTAACATCCGGTTCTAGAGAATAGGTGCAAACCGGTAGGATCCCACCCCTGGGTCTCCTGCTGGTCTTGATGATGCCTCGTCCCAGGCTGATGGATGGCTTCTTCCTCAGCCCTTCTGTGCAAACGGTCTTTGAAACTCCAGAAAGCCAAAGTGGAGGAGTGTTTATCTGCGAATTCTTAGGCTGCAATTGGCCCACAAATACTCTGGCAAAGCAGCTGGGGGCAGGGCAGGGGAATCGGCTGTGAAGAAAGGAAAATGAGCCATAGGCAACACAGGGTGGACCTGCACGCAACGGCCCAGCTCGCAGCCTGAGAATTAACCATTCAAATGGGTCTTTGCTCTTCTTACTGGAAATCCAGAAGTCCCTGCTCAGAATGCTTTTGTTCTCAGCCGGCAGGGTGAATTTGCAAGAAGGGTGGTTTTAAAACTCATTTAAAATGTTTACATTTACTAGAAAGAGCCCCTTTTCCAAGCACCGCAGCAGCGTTTGCTCCTTGAAGGAGCCTTCTGGGTCTGTTTCCCCCTCCTACTGGCTCTGCTTTCTTTCATGGATCAAGGGGGGGCGGGGGGGGAGAGAATATTTTGCAGGCTCAAACTATACCTTACACCCACACAGAAAGTTGAGCTGTCAAATTCTTGCGTCTATGAGTGTGCTTTTCTGGGATAATGCTGTAGGATGACTTCAATCCCCGGCCTTCTATCTTCTGGCAGCGTGGTTTGATAATCATGATTTAAAACAACCCCACTTGATTCCCAAAGGGAAATCACCTACCTGGTTAGGAAAGTTCTAACCAGAACTTTTGAAACTTCAGGCAAAGAAGGAGGCTGCTTAGATCTGAGCTGCAAAACTCAGGATGGACATGGCATGGCAGCAGAGACTTTCCCAGCTGTCTTTGCTGCTCTGAGTACCCACCACACACACCCCCTCCGGATGTTGCGCCCAGTTTTGGGATTCTGATCAAAGGGTGTCAGTCGACTCTTCCTACGCATCCCTCATTCACCTTCAGGACTGTCTACGGCAGAGGTACCCAACCTTGGCAACTTTAAGACTCGTGGACTTCATCTCCCAGAATTCTCCAGCCAGAATAGCTGGCAGGAGAATTCTGGGAGTTGAAGTCCCCAAGTCTTAAAGTTGCCAAGTTTGGAGACCTCTGATCTTCAGGGAGCCCCCCTCCCCAAAAAGTCCAGATGGGTCACCTGTAAAAAGGTGAGGCTGGCCTGTTCCACCTGGTCAAGGTGTTCTTGATCAAAAGTCTATTAAAACCTGTTAAAATCTGGCATACAATTGCTGTGAACAAGGATAGAATCACTGGCTTGTAAAACACCAGACCGCAATGCTCTCAGGAAGCGCTGATTTGGTTTTTGCAAAATTTGGGATTTTCAAAGGGCATTTCTATCCCTTTCTCTCTCCCTCTCCCCCTGCCCCCCCTCTCGAGCCCCAGATTGGTTGGCAAAGAGGAGCAAACCAGGAGCCCCTTCAAGTTTTGCAGTGTGTCTTTGCACTAGTTGCGCCTTTAATGTTTTGTTCCAGTGTTACCAAGAAAATCCATACATCCCTGGGGACCCCACGGCCCTCCCTTCATGCAGAACCCTAAAAATACAGGCCTCTTGTCTCTGAGGACAGGGGCTCATTTTACGCCCCAGCAAAGCCTCAGCAACGACTCTGCCTTCGGTGCAGTCCAGGGGTTTGACCCTTGGCCAGATGCATGTATGTTGCCATCCGCTGGAAAAGCCAAGAGAGACTCATTGCTCGCTTAAATGGTTCATCCGCACATCGTCCCATCGTAGCAGAGGAGATTTGCTGGCGAAATGATTCCCTCATTATTGCGCGCCAGTCCAGATGCTGCCTTGGTTAGACAAATGGAACTGGCACGGCCGTTTGGAAGCACTAATGACTACCACCGATTATCATTTATATTAATTTCCACTCGATTTATTTTTAATCTACAAAGTTTATCAAGATCTATATTGGTAAACAAGCTGCACTGGTGCCCATTGAACAGGTGACGAGACAGAAGGGAAGCCATTTGCAAGGCCACTGTCTGTGCCAGAGAAGGGGGAGGGAGGAAGCTGGCACTCCATTTTGGAAGAAGGCCGAGTTTCTCATCCTACTTCCACCCTCCCCTCCCCAGGAGCCTCCGGTGGATCTCAGGTCCAAGATCTTTGACCGGCTGAGTTTTTCTGTTCTGCCATGTTCCCTCATTCTTAAACAATTAAAAAAAACAAACCCAAACTTCTATTTGGAAAGTATTTTGTACTATGGAAATATATTTTTCAATAATGTGTTATTTGGAAGCTAAGGAGGGAGAGAGAGAAGGGAAGAGAGCGGAGGGGAGAGGAGAGGGGGAAGGGAAGGAGACAGTGGGGTGAGGGGGAGA